TCAAGTCCCGGCCGGTGCTAGTTCTGATTAGCTCATCTGTCCTGTTTTTGACAACCATTCACGCCGCGTCTAGGTGCTGAGTTTACAGCCTTACTGTACTGTTGCGGCTTGTCCTGACTGTCAAGTTGCAGGTTATAAGCGCTAGAAAGGAAACGAACTGGGTGCTAAGATGGAAGATGGGAAGTCTGAAGAAGTGATCAAATTTTATAGGTGATCTACAGCACGTCGGGAGGCAACTCTGAGATCTGGAAGTCCCCGGACTGCTTTAAAGCAGAGGCAATAACGGGCTAAGTCCTGAGGTGGGAGCTAGGAGTACAGTGATACAAGATAAAGTTAGAGGGATGGAGTGAGACAAGTTTCTGTAGGGCCTTGAAGGCCATGTGGGGAATTTTTTTATTTCTATGCAATGGGAAAGCATTACCATGCCTTCATAAGCACTGAAGGCTTATAAGCGAGGAAGAAACATGGTAGGCCTTGGTTCTCTTTAGAAATGTATTTAATTTGGAAGTTTAGTGAGAATACTGTTGATGGTTTGCATTAGAGTGGTGGTCATAGAGATAGAAGGTGGATGGTTAGAGGTATTAATAAGGGGAATTCAAAAATTTAATGTCACAGATAAGAGAGATAAAAATATCAAGGGTAATTCTCAGGTTTCTTGCTTGAGCAGTAAGGTACATGATGTGCCATTGGTCGAAATGGGAAACAATAGGGCAGGGAAAAATAGATGGGATATTGTTTGGGTGTGGTTTGCAGTGGAAATATAGAGAATTATATTTTGGACATATTAAGTGTAAGGTGCCTATTAGACACATAATCAGAGATGTCAGGTAAGCAGTTAGATACACACGTCTGGAGCCCAAGGAGAAATTTATAATGGTAAAATAATTTGTAAATACTCAGCATAGAAGAAAGCCGGGAGGTTGAATGACATCACCTAGGGAGAAGTGTGGAGAGAGAAGGGAAGTTCACTAGGACAAAGACTTGAGGAATGTCAACATTTAGAGATTGAGTATTGAATATTTACTGCTTTCATAGCACAGTGCGAAGCTTGTTGAGGGAGGTAAAGAAGGATCAATTACATGTCCCTCCACCTCTGGGAAATCTTTGATATTTCCCTTCATAAGGCAGAATTTGGTTCTCAGCTCCTTACTCACTTAACATTTTGTATATATTTCTGTTCTAAAGTGTTAGAACAATTACATTGTGTTTTTATTTTCTGCTTGCCCGTCTCTATTAGAGCACACTTTGATTTTTTTTTCCCATATTTTTCAACCCAGTAGCTTTCTAGCACATAGTTTGTAGACATTAAATAAATTTCTGTAGGAGAGAGGTGGAGCCATCATGAATAACTTTAATATAAATCCCAAAGTGTTGTAGTTTAAGAACGATATAAAAATCTGTCATTGGAATAAAGAGAATCTTTTGGGAAAGAGCAGAAGACATATAGCGGAGAAATTATAAGAAAATTTCACTTAAGCTGGAATTGAAGGATGTGTAGGAATTATGTTGTTAGAATGGCTTTAAAGTTTGGAGCGTGAAAAAGAATTTTAAGGAAGTAAAGTTGGCTCCTCTGTGGTGTTTTCGAGAGGGCTGGTTAGGGCCAAATTTTGAACAGCTGTAAATGCCGGTCTGAGTTTGAACCATTTCCTGTAAGCAGTGGGAAAGTTTTGAAACTATTGGAGCATGGAAATGGCATGAAATAGGTGTGGTAGTGGAAGTTTAACCAGGCCGCAAAGTGGATTGCAGCAGATTGAATCTAAAGGCAAAACAATCTGAACAAGAGGTAACAAGAGCATGAATGGGAAAATAGAGGGAAGGGGGAAAAGGGAACAATTCTGAAAGACACTTTGGAATATAATGATTGGCTATGAAGGGACAGACACAGTCCCCAAGTAAAGTGCATTTTGCTTAGTGAAAAAGAAGCAAGACCCAAAAGGTTATATATTGTATGATTCCATTTATATGATGTTCTGGAAAAGGAAAACCAGAATGAAAAACAGATCAGTGGCAACCAGGGAAGGGGGGAGGGGTTGATTACAAATGGGTTGCACAGAGAACGTTTTAAAGTGATGGAACTTTTCTGCAAGATACTGTGGTAGTGGATACATGACTCCATCCGTTTGTCAAAACCCATGGAATTATACACCAAAAAGAGGGAACTTGACTATATGCAGATTTAATAAATCAACCAGCATCTCTGCAGATGGAATGCAGACTGACAAATGAATCAGGCTGTGCTACAAACACAGAACTTCACTGAAGAGGGTGCTGGGGGTGGGGAGAAAGGAGTTGACCTAAGTAACTTTGGAAAACAGTATTTTGAATGGATACTGTGGGGCTAAAAAAAAGAACTGTACATAAACACTGTACTATAATCGGTAAATTTGTTTCTCATGGGGTGGGGGCAAGCAATTCTGAAACTATTTAACATGTATAGTAGGATTGAACAAATATATAAATAAATTGTGGATAGTGGGAAGTGAGTTTCTCACCATCAGAGAAAAAAGTTACAAATGAGCAGGAGGGGATGACTAGAACAAAACCTGTGGTGCTGGATTAGAGTTAGAGACATTAATATGAACTTAATGTTATTGTAGTAGCTATAGAAGTAAACATAGGTGTGTGTATATGCATGGGTAGTATACATATGTGTATTACCTAGATCTGTCTGCTGAAAGGACCTAGAAGCAGCAACACCTCAGTGACAAGCACACCTAGCATTTAGATCTTGGTTTTTAAATACCATTCTCAATTAAAGGAACCAGTGTTCCTTGGAGAAAATACAAGATGAACCTGTAGCAAGTGCCAGGAAATACAGACATGCTTTAAAAAAAAAGTAGGGGTGGCAGGGGCCATGTCAAGAGGACTCAGAAGCAACCTGAAAAACTTCCTACTGGCCAAAGCTAGAACTATTTGAACAACAAATAATGATGGTATTAGGTTATAACCAAAGGAGTAAAATAAATATCTGAGACCATACTGATACAAATAAATAAATAGTTGGAAAAAATAGAACAAATCTTCCCTACAGAAAAATTCAAAAAT